TCGTAGTTGTTTAGACTAACTTGAAAGGGCCGTGGATGGGGGTGGGTGGAAGAATTATATTGTCGTTCAATACGAAAGAGGGTATATCGCCAGAAACCCCCTTATATAAGACTACTTATGAGGCCAGATAATGATGGTTAGTGGCCCCAGAGCAATTTTAAAAAGCACTCCCAGTTAGTTAACATTTGGTCTCACTGGATAGTTTCGTATTTTGACACACACACACACACATACACAACACACACACACATACACACACACCTTAATTTTTAAGGTAGAAGGCATGAGCCTAATTATCACGACCCTATCATTTATAAATTCTCACATAAGCTAAATCTGTAATGTGGTTTACATTTACTTTGAGTTAGGCTTGTAAATGGGTTGCCTTGTTTGTGACTGTCTGTCACAGTTAGACTAGTAATGGAGATCAAATGAGTAACTTGGGCTCCAAATGTGCAGCCGACTTGGCTTACGTATTTACATGTGTCTGCTACAGAGGTAAATATCTAAAACTCTAAATGTTTCAGGGATGATGAAAAGTAATTTAATTTGTTATAGAACTAGTGAATTTTCAAGATGAATAAGGTATATAATGACTCTGTTAGCCGGCTCCTTACATGAACATTTTGAAAATAGCTCTTTTCTGTCAAAAATGGATGTAAAAAGGAGGGGTTGGTGGTAGTATAGGTTCAATATCAAAACCACCATTTGCATAAGGAATTAATATTAATACCTTAGTCAGAATCTTACAAGCATCCTTTCAAAAGAACTCATTAATTAGTTTTTATTTGTATCTTTATTGTAAAATTATTATCATTTTTCTGCAATAGATCATCGTCGGATGAAAAGTTGCCCAAAAAACTGTCCTGTGAGACCTTTAACAGAATCGAGGAACTTCCGGTAGGGGGAGGTGGTAGAGAAACTACTCTGCTTGCCGGCCTTTAATCCGGTCTTGCAGATATATGGTTTATTTTTAGGTATGAAGAAATGCCATTTATTCTGGTCAGTCTTTTGCCTGATGCATAGGGCAATGAATCACACAGATGCTCTGCTCTATCAATCACACCGCAACACCTTGCTCCTTTACGAGCAATCTGAGACTCCTTCTTTCCGTAGACTACTAATGGACACACTTCGAGTCAGGCATTGCTGATTACTCAGATGGACCGCAACTCGATGCCGTATATATTCATATACTTGCAATTTAACTCAACTTATAAACGAATATAGACGGCAATATATATATATATATATATATATATATATATATATATATATATATATATATATATATATATATATATATTATTTTGTAATATATATTACCATCTATATTCACTTATAAGTTGCGTCAAATCGTCAGTTTAACAGACCTTTTATCTGCTGTTGTGTAAATGCGACAGCAGATCTAAATCTTTCTTGTTTGCAGTTAAACTCAACTTATAAACGAGTATGAATAAGGTAAAACATAGATTTAAAAAAAGTCACTCCTCTAGAATAAAGTATTGACCTAACGCTACAGTGCTACTACATCTTATTACATTATGCCAAAAGATCAATGCCTTTCAATTTATATAACTCTTTGGAAAATCACGGGAATCCATTGAAAATATATGAATCAAATATCTCAGAAAGTTATCTGTGATACTGCCATGAAAATATTCCACTATAGCTATATTTCGGCATACGAAATAATTAAAGCTTCCCTTAGGCCAAACTATGTTGTAGGATATTTTCTGTATTGTTCCTAGTCAGACTTTATTCGGAAAGTGGTCACAATTTCACATGAGATCTACATTTTTATATCCGTTAGCTGTTTTGACTAGTCGAAGAGACCAGCTACTAGGAGAAAATAACTGATTAGCAACCTTAGTCCATTGTTAATTTCAATAAAGAGGATCTTATAGATGGCTGAATACGGTAATATTTGGCGGTTGCGATATCCTTTCCTAGTTTAGTGTGGATAAACAACCCCCGCGGGGAATTTTCTTTAATCAAATGGAACAATTTATGAATAATATAAATGATTTAATGTGTGGTATTTCTAAAATTAACGTTCACCAGACACAGCTGTTCCTGATGCGTGGCGTTGATTGCTAATTTGCAGGTAATAATTTAAACGTCTGCTTATTATATGCTGAAAAAAGATAGTCACTTTTAACCTCAAAACTCAATTTTCAAACAGCATAGAAAATAAGTTTTAAATTAGTTATTCGTCTTTATTTTTTCGATTTGTTTCAATATTTCTCAGACATGAAATTTATCGATTATAGATTTAAGCATGAAATCGGAATTTAATTTATATTGGTATAATTAGGATCAAGTCCTTAACTTCAGACCTTATATACTAGCCCATTATCTTCTTAAAGACAGCATTTGCAAAAAACATTTCCCCCAAAAAACAATTTCCCATTTCATCGCTCACCGTAAAAATTATAACCTAAAGGTCCTTAGGAATAACGACATATTTAAGTTCTATCAGGGATGATAAAAAAACTCTTTATACCATCTTTTGACATTAACTTGGCAAATTGACACAGACACGTACTATCATAATTTGAAGGCAGTGCTTTCGATCGCGCGCGCGCGTGTGTGTGTGTGTGTACAGCTCCGGTGGCTTTGTGGTTTAGTGGTTATATATATATATATATATATATATATATATATATATATATATATATATATATATATATATATATATATATATAATGTACGCTGTAACAACGATATAATGCGAGATGTGTAAATGTTTGATTTCAAGGAAACCAGGCAACTGTATATTGACTGGGTGAATGAACTCACATCCCTGCCGATTGTGTCCGCTACAAAAAGTAGTTCTGACTTCTTGTGCCTATTCAAAATCACTATTGTATATTGATAAGTTGATTGTTGTCATTTTTGAGTTTCTACTTTTATTCACATTGATTAAATCAACATAAGTTACTCTTATGATTGATACATGAAAGATGGTTTTAATGAAGAAAGTAGAGTACTTGGCCTATTGACAGATTCTTGAATACTGAACGCTCATCAAATCATTGACGTACAGGATCCAATGAAATTAGCGTGGAGTAGTATCTAACCGAAACGACAAACCAAAACGAGGCAATTAAAATGTTTTAATATACTAAAAGTTGATCTAAGTCTTTATTTTGCTTTAAATAACATTACTACTGACCATAACACAAACTCTCTCTCTCTCTCTCTCTCTCTCTCTCTCTCTCTCTCTCTCTCTCTCTCTCTCTCTCTCTCTCTCTCTCACACACACACACACACACACACACACACACACACACACACATCATATCAAGAAAATTGCGAAAAGACGAGAATAGAGGATTTTCACTTGTGCAATACCACAACATTTCAGGACCTATGAAGAATGATGATAAATGTTAAGTCAAACAGATCAAACGATGGAGAGAGAGAGAGAGAGAGAGAGAGAGAGAGAGAGAGAGAGAGAGAGAGAGAGAGAGAGAGAGAGAGAGAGAGAGAGAGAGAGAGAGAGAGAGAGAGAGAGAGAACTTTTTGGATATTTTCATATTTAATGAAAATAATCGATTTGTATAACCTTATAATAGGTTGAAGACACAGCAACAACATGAACAATGCTCTAAATACATTACATATGTGTCCATAACCAAGATATTTACCTTACTATGTTTACCGGCAATTACAACGTTGTATGATCGATTTTCAGTTTCAAGATTTTTTTCTATGCAGCCCAATTTCTTTTCTCTCTCAATCCAGATTTCTGCATGTTTTGTCTCTTATCCATGAGAAGGGAGGGGAAAACGGGAACAAAAGGAATTGAGATTAAAGTGTGTACCATGCTAAACAGAAATTATTATTCATTTTTATCGTTATTTTCCTACCTCACTAATTGATTAATGAGTGGACATATGTCCTTGATCTATAGGAATACACCCAACAGCACACAGTTCCAAGAATGTATGCGTATTATTGCACCATGGGCGGTTCACAATTTGATGGATATACCATTAGTATAGGTACATCAAATTTCTTTATACCAACACTTTTAAAGCTATGTATGTATGTATGTATGTATGTATGTATGTATGTATGTATGTATGTATGTATGTATGTATGTATGTATGTATGTATCTCCTATTTTTGTGAACTTCGCTTTGCGATATCTTTCTTGACCTTGTCCAGAACCAGCTGTCCATGTCACGTGGTTAATTTGACAGCAGCAGCTGCATCAGACTTCACCATGTGGCCATGTGGCGTGGTTTAAGAGTTATCTGTGGGAATATATTGACCAGATGTCATTGAACATTTAAGAAAAAAATCATTAACAAGATGCTGCCACTGTCATATTTCTTTTAAGCTGCATTGGGATTTTCTTCTCTACTTCATTGTTCTGAATAAGTCTCAATATTTGTAGTTAATTTTAGACCGAATGTGCAAGAAGTTCGAGCAAGTTATATTTAATATCTTAAATATTCCACAAATTGACACAAGATATCAGCTAATAAGTAGTTGATAGATTAATGAAATTAATTAGTCTCAGTGTGTGTGTGTTTGTGTGTGTGTACAAATGAAAATGCATGTTATATCTTTTACTGATGTATTATTATTGTTCAATACAATATAATTAATTTACAATGACAAAGTCCCTGCTGCTTTTACAATGTTAGGGCCCAGGGAATAAAATATAAGCAATAAATTTACAGTTGTCCTCGATGTCTGATTAAAGCGTTTATTGACATAATTTTCAAGGAATGGAAGAGCGTGAATGTGTGTGATTATGAGTTTTAATGTAGCTTTAACAATTTTTCAGTCATATCTCTAGGTTGTCTGCAGTGTGGCAGTTTATAGTAATGTCTAGCACTGGGGTATCATGTCGCAGACAAGTGGCATGATGTTCCACCCAGTCATTTTATCCTGAAACTAGGCCGACCAGTCCTAACACTAACCTCTTAATGCTGAGCGTCAAGCGAGACAGCTGTTAGTACCATTTTTATAAGTCTTTGGTATGATTCGACCGGGGTTCGAACCCACGAGCTACTGCATCCGAGGCGGATTCTCTAACCACTAGGCCACCGGAGCGGTTAGCAAGGGAAGACGTACCAAACACAGTGTTTACATATCGTGAAGTCACCGCAGTAGCTCTTTTGCTCTTGTACACCGTACAACAAACACTAAATATAATAATGTATAATGGAATCTGAAATAATATCTGTCCAGCCAGCATAGATCGGCTCCCTTCATGTGTCTCAAGAAAATGGCACTTGGAGACCTATTATTTACTTTTCTTTTTAATTATTCCTATTTTATCGGTGTTTTACAGCCAGTGTTGCGCAAAAGGTACCGTTCGAAAATCAGCCATCCAGTGATTAATATTCGATTCAACACCCAGTCTCTTACTATAGAGCACAGGGCGTCACTTTTCATGCACGAACAGGTGAAAATAATTAATCTTGTCTCTCTACGTATAGATTTCAACTCATCAGGTTTTCGAGCAATAGTTTTGTTCTGTTGAACGAATTATTCCGTAACTGTTTTGTTAAACTATTTACATTTCGGCCTTTTTATATTCCTACCCAACGCTGTGCTATCTTTGTTAGGAGAACATTTAGTCGCCTCAATCTGGGAATAAAGAATTATGTAAGAGAAAAAAATCGGTTTTTGTGATGAATTTGTTCATCATATTTTGATATCTGTAAAATGTTAACAAGATACTTTTATCTATTAATACTTTAATAATGAACCTACCATTTAAATTTCGAACTGAAGAATGGAACTTGTATTTTAAAAACATTACCAGCCCTGAAAAATCTTGAACAAACATTCTTGCTTTGACTTGGTGAAACAAGGATTGCCTCCTCTATATATTTTTGAACAAATAAAATTATGTTAGGGAAAACGAAAAATAAAAATAAAAAACTCCTGGATCAAAAGAAGATCTCAGACACCCCTTTTCTCTCACGAAAAATGAAATGCTAACTGAAATGCTGGTTGGGCACTAACGAATACTATACAATCGCAGCAAAGAACGCGTAGTCAAACTCTTTCAACGTCTCCCTAGATCTGCTTATGCTAAAACAAAACGATTTCCGATGACCACGGCGATTGTGACATATTGTCTCTATGATTAGGTCAAAATTAAAATGTTTTCATTGACAGATCCCCATTCTGAAGTAGATGAAATCAAAACAGATGGCAGCCATTGTACCAGGCGACTGGGGTACTCAAGGGAATTAACTTTACACCGGGGAATAATATGCGGAAGGTTCTTAAGGTCTCACCGGACAGTTGTTTTGCCAAATTTTCATCCGACAATGACCTATTGCAGAAAAATGATCATAATTTTACAATAAAGATACAAATAAAAACTAACTAATGATTTTTGTTGAAAGGATGCTTGTAAGATTCTGACTAAGGTATTAAGGTTAATTCCTTATGCAACTGGTGGTTTTGATATTGAACCTATACTACCACCAACCCCTCTTTTTTACATTCATTTTTGACAGAAAAGAGCTATTTTCAACCTGTTCCTGTGAGAAGCAGGCTCACAGAGTCAGTATGTACCTTATTGATATTGAAAGTTCACTAGTACTATAACAAATTAACATACTTTTCATCACCCCTCAACCATGTAGATTTTTAGATATTTACCTCTGAAGCAGACACATGTAAATATGTAAGCCAAGTCGGATGCACATTTGCAGACTAAGTTACGCATTTGATCTCCAGTGCTGGTCTAACTGTGACAGGCAGTCACCAACAAGGCAACCCATTTACAAGCCTAACTCAAAGTAAATGTAAACCACATTACAGATTTAGCTTATGTGTGAGTTTATAAATGCTAGGGTTGTGATAATCAGGCTCATGCCTTCTACCTTAAAAATTAGGGGGGTGTCAAAATACGAAACTATCCAGTGAGACCTTAATAATTTAAATAGCAGTCTGATTAAGGAAAAATCTTCTTATTTTCAAAACATTAGGCAATTTTAAATAAAATGTAACCTTTACATGTGTAAAATTCAAGCTTGCTTGTTTCCTTTTGCTTATTGCTTTAATCGATGAGCAAAAGCCATCAAACAGAGCAACCACTATGACAACAGCTTCAAACTTCATCTATTACTTTCCCCACTGAAACATACCATTTCCTTATAACATGTCAGTTTCATCATTTTTCATTACCAATACAACCTGTATTATTAGTGCCAAGTGATATCAAAGACATCTGACAGCACAAATAATGCAACTCTTCATGAAATCTGAAATTGTAGTGAATAAAAGCTGCAAAGGAAGCCAAGCTGAATCTCTTGTAAAATAGCTGCAGAATGTACATGCTAAGTACTTGAAAGAATAATAATGATGCACAGCATATATGAACTGACCAGTAATCTCTCCCTGATTTAATAAAGAAGGTCATATCTGTGTTAAAAAAGAGAAATCAGAAGTGAATGTATAAGGGAGGAAACTCCTCAGCTAACCCAAAAGTGACTGACCAAAGTTTGTAAACAGAACCAATTCATTTAGGAAACTTCAACAGTGAAATTCAATACCCAGACTCAGCACATCTGCTGAGTAGACATTATGTATGGAAAATGTAGTTTCACACCTCTAAGGTCACCTTTGGGTCATTTTCATACTGGCAAGCTTATATTGTTGCTGAAGATGCTGCGGACAAGTTTATTTTCCAAGTGATTGTAACATGCCTACACTTAACCATAAAGTAAAAAGAAAATCATGCAAAAGAAATCAGGAGAGAAGATAAACACAGTTTAGAAAGGGTCATACAGTTCTTGAAAGTTACCAAAATTCCAATGAAGTTGATTCAGATTCACCTGTTCCTGTGAAAGCCCCACAACATCTGATGTGGCTGACTCCTGATGAAACCTTTGCTGTCAGCCTGGCTTTCAATGTCTCTTCACCAAGTGTGCTACCAAACACCTTGAGGCCTAGAAGAAATGAAAACAAACTGTAAAATGGAAAAACTGCAAATAATTTGTAATTACTACCTTACAATAAGCACGTTGGACAGGCATAATGTTCTGTACACTAAACCATGTTGCGACAAATTTGTCGCTTATTACTAATTGATGCAGTTTCCAAAGATAAATGCAAAATTTATCTGCATGATTTATTGTGACATATATGCAACATGTGTATATTTTTTGACATTGTCACATTAGGATGGTGTAAGAAAAACAGTAAACAATGTGCTATAAGTTTTATTCTCTTCCCTCTGAAATGTGTACAGATCATTGCATATCTAGCTGATGTTTTAGCTCCCAGCCAAATTGTACATGTGTCCACTTTTGCAGTTTTCTTACTTAAAATGTCATGAAATTGCTGCTTTTCAGCAGGTGTTAAATGGGTAGTGTATTTTTAGGCCATTATAACTGAATATGTCTGTAAATAAATGAAATGTATGTGTCGAAATGTTACATCATGAACATATAGGAATGTAAATTCATAATATTAAGGCAATTAGCATTTAAATTATAAGAAATGTAGAAAACATGTATTATAAATATTGAAAAATGAATAAGTAAGTGAATTACTTCATTAAACCACATTGTATCAAACTTATTAGGTCTTTGTTGTTCATTAGAAAATTGGATCAGCTGTTAACTCTGACAGTGCTAAGTTAGCTCCCTTCTCTACTAGCATGTACTTATAGGCAAACCTATAGGAAGTGTTTGTTTTGAAATATTTTACTCTGTCAGATTCAAGACATGGAGGTAATAAGGAAATGATTTATGGCATAGTTAATCAAATTTGACAAGACTGAAAAAATGACATGGGTCATTAAGGTCTCACCGGACAGTTGTTTTGCCAAATTTTCATCCGACAATGACCTATTGCAGAAAAATGATCATAATTTTACAATAAAGATACAAATAAAAACTAACTAATGATTTTTGTTGAAAGGATGCTTGTAAGATTCTGACTAAGGTATTAAGGTTAATTCCTTATGCAACTGGTGGTTTTGATATTGAACCTATACTACCACCAACCCCTCTTTTTTACATTCATTTTTGACAGAAAAGAGCTATTTTCAACCTGTTCCTGTGAGAAGCAGGCTCACAGAGTCAGTATGTACCTTATTGATATTGAAAGTTCACTAGTACTATAACAAATTAACATACTTTTCATCACCCCTCAACCATGTAGATTTTTAGATATTTACCTCTGAAGCAGACACATGTAAATATGTAAGCCAAGTCGGATGCACATTTGCAGACTAAGTTACGCATTTGATCTCCAGTGCTGGTCTAACTGTGACAGGCAGTCACCAACAAGGCAACCCATTTACAAGCCTAACTCAAAGTAAATGTAAACCACATTACAGATTTAGCTTATGTGTGAGTTTATAAATGCTAGGGTTGTGATAATCAGGCTCATGCCTTCTACCTTAAAAATTAGGGGGGTGTCAAAATACGAAACTATCCAGTGAGACCTTAAAGAACAAGGGGAAATTTTATGTTAAGATGGTATGTAGGCTGATATGTGGGAGACACTTAGGGGACATGGTTTATCATGCGAATGGTTATGGGGTCAAAAGGTTTATAGGGACAAGGAAAAAGGTAATATTAATAGAGTAAAGGAAAAAGGTGTGACCGTGTCGAAAGCCTGCATAGACAACTGAAAAGATAATATTAAAATTGTATCTACAATCCAACACATTAGATATAATATCCAACATACCATATATACAATCCAACACCCGCTTTTGATTAACACCCCCACCCCCCACCCACACGCCCACACACACACACATACTCACACACCCACACACATACACACACACACACTCCGATTCCCATGTTTATTTATTCTTATTCAAAAAACACACCCCTACCATTCACTGAGAAGGGTAAGGCGTGTTGATGTGAACCAAGGTCACACATGCACACAAGCATATAAAAAATCGAGGGGGATCGGATGTAAAAAAAAAAGTCGATGAAATAGGCAAATACTTTCACACCCAAGGAAGGGTATGAGTGCTTAAACGCCCTATATCAACAGTTATACACTATCAAATACGAAACGTAAGGTTGTTAACATTATTATGTAATTTGCATATTTGCCAA